CAATGTGGTGCACTGTTTTGGGTGACTATGAGTTACTGAATAAATTTTGCAAGAATATACACTTACAATAAATGTAATCAAAAGTAAACTTGACACTTTCCAATCCAAAGATGTTTAAACGGCACTTCAGACTCAGATTTCCAACTGAACACAAGAATGCTTGAGCATGATAGCACACGAAAGCAACGTTAAGTGAACTGCGTAGATAGCCTACATGTAATCTTACCTATTTGAACGTCTTTTACTGGGCGGCACAATGATCCGCGGAATGTCATGCAACAGCACAGTGCAGGAACCCTTCCGATACACAGGTCTGTCCATCATGACAAACCACAATTATCTCTGCCAATAGTGTGCAGCTACTGTCTGTACTGTGTATACATGTGGTAGATAACTGTCAAGTGTCAACTGAACCAGACCAAACCTCTAATTGATTACTGACTCCAGTCCCAGTTCTCACTAACCAAGTTCCTCTAAGTTCCTTTTCCCATTAAAGACCGTGCGTCACTGTGGCAAGTTCCAATAAAAATGCCCAGTTCAACTGACTGATCTTGACTCCAAAACCAGCACTCAGCTTGCAGATACATGTACATGTACCACAGTGACAGCCTCGGTGAATACCTGGACCGTGACCACAACAATTGACACTCTTTAGTGGGAAACCCACTGGTCATCAGCCTCTGTTTACTAGAGCAGATCAATGAAAAACAACAAGGCTGAGCTACCAACATAAAAGCGGACACAACCACATGAACATAGTATCATGTACATACATGTACAATACATGTACAGGTAATATAACACAGATCAACCACTCAGGCCTGGCCCTGTGGGCATAGAGACCTATCCACTCAAGGAAGTTTTGGTGAATAAATATGACATCACACCTGTTGGGGGTGTTTGGGTTCTGGCTTGGGGGTCCATGCCATAATCCATGGAGGTATTTAATTTCTGCTCTATTTCATTATCTGAAAGGCATTACCAAGATTTTGAACATTAATCCATTAATCAATTTTGAAACCCACCACAATCGATAATTTCTTTCAAACACAAGGATAACGCGTGTGGTAAATATGCAAATGCACGAGAGTGCAACAGCACATGTAATTGACCATGAGAAGATCAATATGCAATCCACAATTCAAAGAACTGCCAAAGCAGCAGAGTGAATGCTACATGTATTTTTTTCCCAAAATAAAATCAGGATCACTCAACCCAAATAAACACAGGTTGGTCACACAATTTCAGAGCATTTCCTTCAATGTCGTTTGCTTAAATTGAATCATTGTTCCCATCACGAGATAGTTTACACGACATTATCTGAAAGAATGGGAAAACATGTTAACCTATTCCCAATGTGAAAACTGAAACAAGGCAGGTTGCTACAGAACAAAACAACATGTATATACACACCACAGCATTAAAAAACCGTCTTTCTGTACCCTGCATCAAATAAAATTAGCAGTATAACACTATAGGTGCATTGGTTTCAAACCATTTCCCCCCAGCACTATGGTCTGTATGTGTACATTTTCCCTCAGGCAGGCTTTTCCAGAAGTTTACAGAATCAGTAACAACAAATCACTATTTACACAGGATGCTGGCTAAGGCCCCCATGGTTCACATGCTGGGCCTAACTGTAAACTGCCAGCTCTGGGTATTGACACAGGGAGCCATTAGAGTGGGTGGGGGATGCATTTCGATGAGTCAATTATCGCCTTTACCAGTTACACTGGTATTTTCAATCAACAAAGCTCTTATCCTATTCGCCTGGTAATGTAGACACAGCCTGGTAATGTAGACACAGGAAACATCCATGCACAAACCTTTTTCCCTTGGATGTGGAAAAAACTTACACAGGAGACATGATGACAAGAGTCCATTCTTATTAGGCAGCCTGACCCACAGACATGGTTTGAAATGGGGGAGGGGGTGCAAGACCAGGTCCAGGCTGGACCTGTGTCTCATCGCACCAAATTCTTTGAGAGATTTGAATTATGCAGATGATACGTTTGATACATGAAACGATTAGGAGCGACCTGTATATGTAACATCATTAAAAGATCCACTGCTCCAGTCTTGTGGAAGGAATCTGGTTTCCAGTTTTTCCCACTACACTATGATTAACCCTGGCTGAAATAAGGTGTCATCAACACAAGCAGTTTATTTGAAGACCAATCAAGTGGTCTCTAATGACACTGCTGAGCAGGGCAGCCTTGCCACAAAATCAGATCCTAGATCAAGTTACCTTCTGATCTTGGGCATGACATAAGATGAAGTGTGAACTACAACATTTTAATATTCAGGGGTTCTCCATTACAAGGGAGTGAATGTAAGGTCACCAGGTTTTTTCCCTCTTTCTCTACAAAAGGAAGTGGAAGAGTAGTACTTGGACACTTCCAAGGTGATGGATATGACATCTGCACGATGATTACTTTTGGCCCTACTCATAGAACAGAAAACCTTTATGTTTCATGGGATACACGTATTTCATGTTCAACTTTTGTACTTGCATTCCAGAATGGCGGGTGAGGTTTGGAAAGCTTTTCCTTAAGATTAATGATTGCATTATACTACCAACTGGCTCTACGTCATGAATTGTTATCCCAAGATAAATCTTATGGGTGATTTTTGCTTTTACACGCGACCGTTCCCTAATTCATGCAGTATTTCATGCCAAAGAGCAAACTGGCAATATTTCTGTGTTCATTTATGCGATAAGCACAGAGCTCCTCCTTTAAACAGAGTATCCAGTTTGACCGAGATATTCAAATTGAAAATTTGTATTGCTAACAGATGGGGTCCACTTTGATTCGGAGAAAACACAGAGCTATGGGACCCAGCTCTTTGGTTTAAAAACACACTTTAACCCTCCTGATATTGATTGTCCACTCTAAAATCTGCTAGCACTTACATGTATCTAGGTTCATGATCAAATGAAGAACCTTGATATCTATACCCACTGGATCAGTGACTATTTTTTCATTTATCCTGACATGGGGGTACAACACTACAGAACCTGTGGGTTATGGTTACATAAGGTGTGCTCCGTGAAAACATTATTGTTTCTAAAGGGAGACTTTCTCATGTGGTGGTCTGGGCCCTATCTCACGGCACTGTGCAACTTTTTTTGCTTGCAGTGCCTTTTGTCCATTTAATCCAGCACAATTAAAAACAAATTGTGGGAAGAATTTGCATGCTGTTTAATACAGGCGACAAATATCTACTGCACAAAAGAACTGGTTTTCGAATGGGTTTCAGTACAGCATAACAGCAGGTACTGCAATACCAGTAAATTTAAACACCGGATATTAGCAAATTAGCCTCAAAATTCTGTCTAATCACACAAAGTGCACATTACCCCAAATGTGTCAACAAAAATAAATATATTTTAAAAAGAAACCTTCTTTTTCTTGCATGAATGGTTCACAAAGGTCATGCCAAAGACATAAATACAAAAGAAAGTGAAAGGGCTCATTTACATTGCAAAGGGTAACTATTTACACAGGGGAACATTTCCATGAAACGACCTTGTCTCCCCAGACATTTATGGGTCTGATGACTGAATGTCTATTCCATGACTGAAACAACAATACACTTTAGATGACATTTTCGTGTTAGAGGAGAGAATATTCTACCAAGGCAGGCCACAGGGAAAATAAACATATATATGTACAACTGCATGCACACACTCAAATCTTTTTCAGCATGTACAAACTGAAGACGGATATTTATATCATTTTCTCCAGCTTACCACTTCTTCCTTTTTGTTACCACTTCAGTTAAGAACTCCATTTAAATCATACTATGTTTCTCCTCCTCTGCGAGCAGTTTGCTTTTGCTAAACATTGAGCCTTCACAGTTCTCCATTACCGTTAGATCGTTACTATTAGACCCGTTTCATGCACACGGTTCCACTGTTTCTCCTAGCAGCTGAATGAGCACAAGCTCTTCTGTAATGCTTACGCATGTGACCTACGACTTTGGTGCCGATGCCACTTTGGTGACGATAAATTCCCACTGATGGTGGTTTTTATCTGACAGCTGCATCCTGGAAACCTGAACTCTGGGGTTACATTTATTGACACCAACCACCACAGTTTGATGAATGAATGTGAGCCTCTGTAAAAAACTCAAGTTCTTGGAGGGGGAAGAACAGTGAATTTTGGGTGATGTGTCATCTCACACCAGGAACTTAATCTTCAAGATCTGGAATTTAATCCTTAAGATATGCACACTGATTGAGTATGATAGTTATTGTCAACACTAACTGGGAAACAATGAACCAAAGAATTACAGTCTCAACAAGATTTAGTCTAAATACATTTAGCATTAACTAAACAAGGTTTCCACCACAACTCCCAGCCATTTTACTGTTTTGATTCTGTATAAGTTATTGGTCTACTGACTCAATGAGGCCAAAGTACACAAACACACCATCACTGACTGCAGTTTGCACAAAGTTAAATATAATTTTCAAGTCTATTTCCATCGACAAACAAATCCCTAGACTCCCTCAGTAAACAGATACTAAACAGAAAATATTCCATATCTAATTTGGGAATCCTTCATGTTCATTTTTAGTGGCACAGTATTCTAAAACCTTCTTACAAAAAGAGAAACTCAAGTATCCCAAAAAAGAAGATTGTTTACAAACAAACATGGTACTATATCAACATAAATCATCACAGGTGTACATTTCTATCATGCGTAAAGTTACAAGATTTCCCAACAGGACAAATTGGCTTGAAATTTTGAGTCTAGGAATTTGAACAATTAGTACCTCTTGTTTGGGTCCTTAAAAAGGAACTCTTGAGCATGAATGGTGAAATGCTCTACAAAAAATCATAGGAAAAAAAAGGATCCTGCAAGAAAACAAAAGCTGAATAAGTACTACACGTGCCTAGTTATCCCGGTACATTTTATACCAGGACTAACGAAAAGTGAACATATCAATGCAAACAGAGAAAGTTGAACAAACTAATCAGAAATTCACCCACCTGAAAACTGGCTCAGAGAGCTTGCGTATTTTCAGACTCAGGCGCGACATCTCTCCCCCTTCATGGGCGCTCAGAGGGGGATTGTGCTCCCTGTATGGTGACAGCAGCGGGGAGACTGGACTGAGATTGCTCGGTGTGGTACGCTGTGAGCAACGTGGCAAGCGGGGCCCATATGGCCGCATGAAGGCACAGTTTAGCGTCATGGGTGTCAGCAAAACAGATAGAAGTGGGGGGGGGGGGAGAAAGCTGGAGGATGGCTGACTATGGACCAATTACTGCTGCAGACCGTTCCGTCTTGAGTGCTCCCCGTGACAAGGATGATGGAAGTGATTACACCTTAACGCTGTGCTCCTGCAGAAAGTTACATGCAGCTGGGCAGTGAGGTTGTAGCAGAACTCTTCAAGTGAAAAAACAGCCTGCAGGTGCAGATTTCTACAACTGACAGCTTCCAGTTCTGACCAACTAGAAAGGTTCCCTAACACAGTCAGGTGAAACTGACTGTTCCTGAACAATTTTGGACCTATGAACAATCAAGTCAGTGTCACAACATTGCTCAAGCATTAAAAGTCAGTCAAAATTTCAGAACCCATGACAAAATAGGTATATGACATTTCTAAAATGAATGTGCATATAAACAACTCGACAGGCAATTACATGGAGAGTAGACACATAATGACTGTCTAATTCCCGAGGCATGCCACGGTTTCCTATGCCAATACGAATATGTGCGTACTGAACACATAGGCCTATGTCTGGCATACCATACAGGTCACAACCTAGTTCAAACTCCTCCAGTAATTTCAGCTGATCTTTATCAAGATGGGTCTGCCTGTATCTCACTTCCAAGACACAAAGCACACTTGAACTGGTGCCAAGACACGTAGCCAGTGGATGCCTACGAAAACCTACACGTACGGGTCCAACTACCAACTGCAGATTGCTTCAACTTGCCCGGTGGCCCACTGAGTGGAACCTCTCACCCATCTGAACTTTGTTTCAGCATAGAGTTCCAGGAACTTGTGACTCAGGGCTCAGAAAGTTGTGACTGACTCAAGAAGTGTATGTAACACTACTCCAGTTCTCTTTCAGAAGACTTTCTCATTAAAGAGGATGTACTGTATATATATGTATTCAACACCATGCACAGAGAGTTCATGGAAAGTGTTGCGTTATAAACTTCCTGTGGATAGGCTGGCTTTTCATCTGCAAAAGAGATGCAGCTGCCATAATCTATTATATGTGGTAAAATACTGCCCAAGATCACACACAACCAGCCCAACCCAAGGCTGAAGGATGATTCACAAACACTGCCCAAAAGACTCCAGTTTCATCTTCTTTTTCTCTAGAAGAAGTTGCCACCTTCAGTGTCAGCGAAGACATGCATAATTTACGACACATCGAGCCTTTCCTGCCTGCCAAGAAAATGTCACAATTGATGACACAGTGTATCTTGTTAGGGGGACATCACTGAGTATTATATGTGAACTGAATAAACATCACTCGGCAGATGCTATACATATCCCCACTGACATATTTATGTCTCAGGGATTCTGTATAAAATGAATCCAGTGCAACTGAACACAACCAAGGTGTGTCGATTCAAGTCATGTGGAATCCGGGAAGCAAAGCCAAAATTTGCTGTCATGCTGGTTTTTCAAGTATTACCACTTCGATAACAAGGGTGTAATTAGTGTGTGCATATATCCTGGTACCTTCCTCCAAATTGAAACAAATAAAAACATTCAACTAATGTGTTTTCTCACAAATTTATAGCTTCCAACACACGCAATATATTTCAATTACACACACTCTTCTGGCTTTCATCATGACTCGCCAGCTCCAAAAGTTTTGAACTTATGACGCAGATTGCACTGCACGCCAACAGAATCTTAATGAGCTGAGACAGAGCCTGGTATCAGCCCTAACCAGTGATCACATCCAAGATGTATTTACGAGATGCGTACATGCTGTTCCAATCACAGTATTCCTTGCTTGATGAGCGGGCATAGGCAGGGAATTGGCTGTCATGCTGAGGTTCCTCGGAACCCAGAAGACGGTGTAGAGTTCACTGAAAGTGCACCACGACTGTTCACATCGTCTACAGATAACCCAGTTTTTCATTCTCTGCTCCAGGATCCAGACTGCCTATTTTGGGTACATCACATTTTACAAGCATCCCAAACTTGTCTCACTGGGATATGTATTTTCTGCACGTAGGGCCTAGTTTAATTAAACTCACTTCTGTGCATGAGCTGTGTAGCACATTCCAGGAATGATCATACCCAGCAAATACATGTTAACATCACTAAGGAATAAGCAGTCTCTCTCCCTCTTCCCACCAGTATACCCGATTTTGTTGAGCTCCCACTCGGCCAACACATAGATTTCCCCCAACACAGGTTTCACTAATTTACATTTTCCACTCTCCATCCAGTGCCAAGCGCTCGACCAATTAGAGAACAGCCTTATCGCTCTGTTAGTGCACCAGGCAGGTGCTCAAACCAGTCTACATTGTATTTTTTGTGCGTGTTTCCTTCCTCGGGTGTAGCCCAATGAATAGTGGGCAGTCCTTCATCCGTGCAGTGGGCACATCAGCCTGTCTACACACGAGCACCAGCCTATGCCATCCAGGGAACTCAATGCCAGATGAATATTGAAGATGAAGCGGTCGGCCGAGTCAGTTTTGAGGCTGGGGACACAAGCGTGATAATGCAATCCCAGTCCGCATCACAACCAGCAAGAATGACGGCACTTCAAAATCTGCCAATAACAACACGGCTAATACATACAGCATACAGAAATATGCACCACCTGTAATCCATGGCTGCACAACATACTAGTTGAAAATCAACCACCTCCACATACAGTAATACATGCGATAAATCTGACAAACACAATCGGATGATAACGAGGGTGATGCAATGCCCGGACGGCAAAATTACTAAGAAAAACAAAAATCCTGACCTTGTTCAATTCTAATAGGCTGTCTGGGGGAACACAGCTGCAGAAATGAGTTTTGTTCGCGAATGCAACTCATTGAAATATATGCCATTTTTTGCTGACCTGGCCCACGGACAATAACACAGTGAAAGCTTTTATGGCCTTTAAAGCCTTGGGTGCAATTATGCATCCACCCACGGGTGTATCGGTCCTGGAGTTTGATGGCTAATCATCCTGATCTGTGCATTGCAGCGCCGCATGAAGACCAAAAAAACAGCATCCCAATGTGCGGAGAGCAAACAAGACTCCTTCTGCACTCAATCCCACGCTTGGATCAAATAATGGTGAAGGCAGTAGGGCCTAGGCCGATGAAGGTCTGTACGATGCAGAGCAATTTTTTTGTTACCCAATGGACTGGACTCACTTTTTATATTTATGTTACTCAAGCCACTCTGCCAATGGTCTGAAATTTGAACGAAATTGGCACTGCCTTTTGTGAGCATGAAGTTTGCTTTTGTGCATTTATAAGAAAGTTGATCGATATTTGTGACTTTTTCCCTCAAATTTGTGATACCGGATGTTGACATTGCATAGCAAAGCTCAACTGATGTTGGATTTTATAGGCTTTGCACTGAAATGCATCACAAAAACAAAGATGTGACGAGGATCTCGCCATGTGATGTGTTTGGAAAGCCTCCTCATCGCTGACAAAGAGAGGACACGGTTGAATGTCACGGTAGTTGTGAGGCCGCAGCCCGCACAGACATCTAACTGGTTTCTCCATTTCAGATGAAAAATACAGATCAATGTGCTGCTCGGTGTTGGGTATGCAATGGGATGTCATTCAAGGGATGCCACTGTCAAGCAACAAAGCGTCCACTCTCATATACACAAAGAAGCCATTCTTGAATGTAAGATCTTGCACCCGCAAACGGTAACAAATTACTTCAGTCTCCTACTCTTCTCCTACCACACGGCTACAAAACCAAATCCATCATCAGCATTAATCTCATCCCAAGTGATTTCCAAAGGTCACTTACCACAACAGATGGTGGCTAGACTAATGAAAATGAACGTCCCCCAAGCGGACCATGCTCCTGGCCTAGAATGCACGACCATTATTGGTGGGATTTCACAGCCTTGTTGCTTTTTGCCTAGCTTGAACCTGTCACACATTAGAGCCACAAGGTCCTTCAAAGGAGCACGTCCACAGCTTCATTATCATCCAAAACCTCCTACTAACAGCCCTTCATGTGTGCAATTATTTTGTTTTCTTGTTGGTAAGATCAGTTTTAATAAACCTATAATTTCCCAATGCAGATGGAACGAACTTTTATTTAGAACAAATTTTACTCACGCTCTGATCGCATGATCATGTTTTTTCCTTTAAACTATTGACAGGATTATATGGCAGTATCATCTTACCTGGAATGATGATTACTGCATTTTAACATCATTTTCAATAAACTAAACAGGGAAACTGACTGGCTGTTTTATATGAAAATTACAAAGGTGAACATGCCATTTCTTCGCACAGCTAATTTCTTAACTACATTTACTTTGATTTTTGGTGTTATCCCAAAAAATTCAAAATTACAAATGTATTGCCAAATTAGTCTGGCATAAAACACCCTTGCACTGATGGCTGTACACTCCCCAAGGAGTTGAGATGGTTTATAGGGTTGTTTCTGAGTCCCATGAGCAGGTCTAATTGATGATTACACACACCTGAAGGAATTAAGATGGTTTTTATGGGATTGTTTCTGAGAGTCCACCAGGCACTGGAACGTGACGTATAAGGTAAAGACGTCATAGTATTATTATAACTGTCCCGGCACCAGCTTAATCTTTTTTAACAAATCATATTATTTTCTTTTACAGATTTGTTCCAGTGACCCTGTGTTACTTGTGCATTATTAAAACCAACTCAGAAAACAACCAGAACGCACAGGGCATGCAAAGACTTGCTGCCTGACTGGCCAAGCTGAAGAAAGTCCAGGGGTTTGCATGAAATAATAGACTGCATAATTCATCAATCATGCTTGACATTGACACTTCACTGTCAGTACAATGCTCCATTCTAGCAAAATATAACACCAGTCAGTTTCAAGGAGTTGTAGCTTTGGTTTCATTAGTATGGCAAGGAAAAACACAAGAGATAAAAACAGTGTGGACAAGGAAATGAAAGCTCGTCTGGAGAAATCCCTTGTCATCAAGTCAAGTCAGTGACGCATTCAGACAAAGAAAACAAGTTATAAAGCAGCTGCATACAGCGCTGAGTGCATGTGAAGTTACAGCAAACAAGAGCTACCTTCTTAACCTGACCTAGATGTAGGTACATATATAATGCCAATGGTTCCAATCCATTTGTCTTCAACAAGAAAGCTGGGTAGAATCTGCACTGGCTGACGAAATATATTCAGGAGACTTGGCTACATTAACAGGAGCAGTCTGCTTCTCCATACAAACCATTCCAGTGTGGTTGACAGGTCTCATGATTGAACAAAATATCTCAGCGTCTGACCAGCCTCAACTAACTTTTAAACTTTCCAGTCTGGAGACAAGCCTAGATGTGTTGGTTTACATGTAAAACTCAATTCTGCATTAAGAACAGCGCAATCTGTGTCACAATTCCAAACCATGTTCAAAGAGTGTATTCATATTTGATCGATCTCGGAGCCAACCCCAGTTCACATTGGAACCACCGACAGTTTCAACCTTCAAGGTGGTAAAACTAAAAGATAACACATGCGCAAGGCAGTCGTAAACAGCAATGGCCTGTGCCTATAACACACACACACACACACACACGCAACATAATCTCAAGGATACATTCCACCTGCAGACAAACTTTCCACTGGAAAAATGAAGGGCTGGCAAACTTAATTTTCACCAAAGACAATGAACCCATGTTTAATCCATGGCACTGGCATAAATTACAGTGTGTACATTACCCAAACCTTGGGGGGAAACTCTTTGGTCGATAAATTTGTCAGTTGTCCTTGCCGCCGGCAGCACGCCTATACAGTACAGTCTGTAGCTCCACGGTGGTGTGGTTGACATCAAAAACTGCTCACAGCAAAAATGTGAACAACTGAGAACGCGCCAGGCGGCAATACACCTACAGCTGTGTACATGTATTGTACATGTACTTCTCTGTGAGAACACATCCACAAGTGAATGAGGTGATATGCATGGGCAAGTTTTACAACATCTCTGCACGTGCTTATCATCTGGCCCATTTCCAACAGAACTACTCATATTTTGGAGTGGAAATCATAAAGTTTTGTTTTGGTCCCTTGGCCTATTTTCTTGTCATATAACACCATTTTACTGAATAAATTGTACCTGCATTCTCAACAAGTCAATCTTAAAATTACTGGTAATTCTAAACCAAAACTGCCAGCATCATATCAGGACGTCTGGCTTGTCTGGGTAACATTCCTTTGATACGTGGCCTATTTTCGTATCAAAACATTGCTGGTATGGACTAGAAACCCCAATCCCCTGCCAGAACATTCCATTTTCTAAAACACTGTTTAAGTTTGTCACAAAATAAATTAAAGGCACAGGTTACATTTAAAAAAACTGCAGTTTGATCACACAATGACAGGGAATTCAAGGAAACAAAAATATTTTTATTACATAAATCAACAATTTCCCAAAACCATTCCTTGAAATTTTCCTTTTTGGACATGTCTTGGCCACTGACCCCCATCCAAGAACTCTCCACCTGGCATGGCCAAAATTGATGATGCAACTTGGTAATTACTGTCACTTTGTCAAAAGTCCCCCTCCCCAACCAGTGATCCTCCAAATCTAATCTATGCATTGATACAGTAGATGACAACCAGGTGCACTCCACTGCTAAAATCTAAAGGACACTGACCTCCCTCCACTCAAAAGCCCAACACACTCCAGCACGTGAAGCACGTACCGTACGCCTAACCGCAACTCTTGAGTGGTGTACAGTCGATTTTCAATGTTTGTGAACCTTGTGACAGGTGGTGGCAAAATCTGGTACACAAGACTAGATGAAAATGGTCTTTCTTCTTCTAAATTGGCAGGCTATGCATTGCATTAAAGAGACAGAAACTGAAGGTTTCAAAGCCACACTTTTGGAGAGAATTCCACTGCTGAACCCCCCTGAATGTCAGAGACTTGATGACAGTAAAATTGATAACAAGATACCACGCTGCCCAGCTTTAATGAGGACAAGCTACACTGGGTTTTCTGAGACATATGTACAGCGGTTGGTAATTTATCAGAAAAATCTAAATGAGGCAAGGCACGTTGAGTATTGAACATAACAGAACTACAATCAAACTTTTTGGGGGAGAAGGGGTCTACAGCTTGACTAAAAATTCCTCCCTCCATGGTAGAAGTAACAACATGGCAATTTTCTAACCTAACCAATTCATCACTATTATGGCTGTTCACATGCTAAACTTGCATGACTTGATTCTCGAGACAGACGTGAAGATATTCCAGGCTTAGAGGAAACAAGTAAATTGACAAAATGAGCAAAATGCATGCTTATTAGCATCCCTCATCACACCAGCCATTTCCAAAGTTTGGAGAACAAACACAGTTTTTTTGACCGTCCCAGAACTGGAAGACAAGAAATAATATTTATGGCTGTAACACAGGTACTGTACAACCAAAACGACAACTATTTGACAGAACTCTAGAAATACCAGACACTCCTCAGTGGACTCTCCAGAATTCATGGCAGCCAAAATGCACGTTCCTTCACTGCACATGCCAAACCGCGGCAGCTACACTATTTATGAAGTTCCAAGCCCTTTAATTGGTCAGAAAAAGTAGAGTATAAAGGCCACAACAGGAAGAACAACAAAAAACATGCAGCCACCTGCAAAAATCACCATTTGCTATATTGCCAAACCACTGACGAATGATCGCACAAATTCCATGGCCAACTGCCTGTGACTTAGTCATCTGATTCAGTAGCTGAAAGATGCAGACTGTAAGGAATGAAAGGCTCAATCAAGAAATGTATATGGAGAGACTCAAACTAGACCGAATACTGAACAGGTGAAGAAGGAAACTCTATTAAGTACTTGCCCGAATTCAATCCTAAAAGTTCCAAATGAAGAGCTGTCTTGGAGGTCAAAACGTTTGAAGGTCTGTATCCACCAACTGAGTAGGTGAAATGTTCCAAATCTCTTGCATCCCAGACTTATATCCAGCTTTATAGGGGCTAAGTCCTGTTCAAGAATACAGCCAAATTAGGAAATGTTTTCCCATCCGTAGCTAAGATTAGCAGCAACCTACACTTTCTCCTCTGTGGCAGCCATCCATTCTCACTCAAAAAACCCCCCAAAAACCAACAGCCTAGCAGGAAGGGAAATGGAAACACTAGTTATTCCTAAGTGCCATCTACAAAGCGGACAGAAATGTATGCATGGTCGTCACTGCAATGCTTCCCTTGGTGAACCTCGGGTGCAGTCTTCTCATTCTCTTTCCCTTTTCCTCTTTCTTAAAAACCCCCCAAATTATGGCATTTTCCCAGTTCCTGTCAGAATGAGCAACTAAAGCAAGGACTTGATTCTAAACCTTGCCCCAATGCTCACTCTGGGGCGATTTACTGCAAGCAGGATATTCCTGACATTATCCCTAAAACTCTGAGGAATCCACCACCACGTCATTATGTTTTAGGAAGCCTTTCCCCCTTTCCCCACAGGTGATCCATACGAATCTCTCCTGATATATCAAACTGGCTGCAATGAACACTCCTCAGCTAGTAGCAAGGGGACATGTTCCATCCAGCCCATGCAGCATCTTGGAGGCGACACTCGTACCGAGCGACACTGACTTACAAGCCGCCACCCCGTTTCACATGAGTAGTACAACTGCAAGAAGCTAGTTTAGAGTTGAATTCGACACTGTTGCACTCTTGTGCCTTTTTATCATTAAAGTACAAAGCAATTGGTGGTGGTTAGGGAAAGTCAAATCCATTGAAATATGCATATAATTTTCAAAAACCAAGGTGTTTAAATATTAAATTACCCAAAAACAGCATCCAGTATGCATTCACTCTCTACCGCCTGTGTAGCTGGTGTACTTACGGCACAAAGTTGTATTATCACAGACTCTAGGTTTAAAATCAAGGTATTTACAAATATTATCCACACCAACTTATACATTGGAAAGTATGCTTTTCCACAAAGTTTTTTGCATCATTGAATATATCTCCCACCCAATTTTCTAGAAACATGGCAAGAGTATGTCAAAATGATCAAAGTTTGCTTTGATCGCTTGCTGCTACCACAGATTACACAAAACTCCTACGAGACACCAACACCCACTGAGCTCCCTTGTCCAACTTTTTAAAGACGGTTCAATCCGGGAGTGAGGCTATCTACGTGGGTTTCCAATCTACGTGTGACTCACGTCAAAGACAACCCCAAGCTCATGGCTCCACTGTTACACGCTCAAGACCTAACACAGGCAACATTGATGTACGTGCACAGCCCTACCTGGCAGGGATTTCTGACGTAAAGTAACAAATCCCCATCCACGTAAAAAAAACTGAGCTTCGCTCAGCTTAAGGACTTAGCTACAGAGACTGTTCGCACGTCAATCTGCTTGGAATTTAAGTGAAGAGCTAAACAGCCTGATAAATGTGAGATGAAATTCAAGGCCTTTTAGGCAGAAGGACCTAAAAGAGTTCACACAGCATTCAGACTGTTTTCTGCAAACAGACTGTTTTCTGAACATTGTGGTTCAGGGATAAAATGTGATAATTTGAAAGGTCAATTTTTCTATTCAGGCTGGGTTGGCTACTTTGAAATGGTAATCAATTAGGTCGATGAACTGCCTCTATCCATTTCGTCTATTCAACCAGCACGTCCAGCAAACAAGGCATCACACTTCCACATATCACATTCCAGGTAAATTCAGCCTACTGCCGATTGAA